AATGCTCCCGAGAATGCTGTGAGCAAACACTAACCACTCACCACGACACTACCAAAACAACAAAAATGGTGCAGCATGAAGCAGCAAACACCACTGTGCCTAACAGGAGACAATGTTATACTTAACAGTCACCAAGTATATGAAAAAGTAACTCACNCCCCATCTGCCTCCCCAATTGGTGACTCCCCTGATTACTGGAGGTAGAATGTGTTCAATTATGGTATTTATTCATGTATAATACGATCCTGAGTATAATACGTTCATAATTTTTTTGAGCTTAAAAAGCATTAAAAATCTAACCCGTGTATAATACTGCCCCTCCACTTTATGGATGATTTTCAGGGTTAAATTTCTAGAATTATACATGTAAATAAAATCAAGTAAATAAAAACAGTAGCCTAGTCTAAAATTTCCTGGCAGCGTATTTCTCCGCAGGCATCACTCCGTCTCCCTCTGGCGGACACTGCACCTGCTTGTCTCCGCTTTAAAACCAAGTGAAACAACGTGCTTTATGATCAGGGCGCACAAAGAACCGACAGGAGAGATGGAGTGAAAATCCATCTCCCTTCCTCCACCTCCGACCCAACCCGCTGGAGCATCACTGCACTTACTAAAGGACGCGCCTCCCCGACACACCTCCCACATACTGAGACACAGAGAGAGAGAGGCGGGGGGAAACGGGAGCAGGTCCAACCGGAGGTGGGGCGGGAAGCGGCACAAACTGCTGCTCAGACACGGAGAAACACCGGAGGCGGAGAGGTGGCATGCATTCTGGCACACCGGCGGCTTTCTTACCTCCTCTGCCTCTTGGGAAGCCGCCTCCTCTTCCAAAAGGAGACGCAGGTGCGTGCGCCTGTCTCTACCCGCCTACCGAGCCTCCACGCGGGCGGAGCAGGAACAATAACATCACGTTAAATGAGTCGCGCGCGCCTTCTGTTTTGTGCGCCGCGTGCTGTGACTGTGACACCGGCTGTACAGCCAGCACACATGACTTAAACCGAACCGGAGCCGCTCCTTAAAGACAATTGGACCCGCTGAGCACTATGGCTGACCAGGTAAGGCCACTATACCTCATTTCACGCCCACCTCGTGCGCTCTGCACACCCGTCTGCACAACACACGACATACTTACCTTCTTTTCGGTGGTAACAACAAGGCTTTTTTTCTTGTTAATATTGTATTGAATAGACTTACACAGCGGGGAGCTGACTTTGTTGTCTTTCTCCACATTTTTTTTGATTCCCGTCATCATTTCTGACCCTCTGTCATGTGGTCAGTGTTGGCTGAGGAGAAWGCAGCGTTCTAATTTAAAAGGTTCCCCATCCATCTGTGCTCTTTTTTTTCTCCCAAAGGAGTTCTTCCACACATACTTTGAAAACAATTGCCGCATGATGAATTGTGCAGTTTAAAAAAAAAAAGGCTGAAAAGCTGCTTAAAGAAAGCAGTACTGTAGGTGTAATTGGGTCGTAAAGACCCAGGAATAAGAAAACATTGCTTGTAGTATTAATTTTGCATTGTCTACTGTTTGCCCCAGTTTCTCTACTGCCTGGCGAGAGAA